CCGGGTCTCTGGAGATCTATCAGCCCAAACCATTGTGATATTCGGAATCAGCATGCTCGATTAGCCCCGGTCAACTGAGTCTCAGCTCAAAAGCGAGGGAACACTTGGTGGGCTTTCCTCGTGAGATGCTTAAGACCTAGAAAAAGCGTTTCCATCAATTCTCTCAAAAATTTTAAAAAGGTTTTAAAAGAACATCTTCATTTTTAATTCCTTTTTTATTTTCAAATCTTTCTTCTTCTTCATTTCTAAACAAGATGAGTGTAAGTTGGTAGAGGAACAATGCTGTGACAGCTTAAAGTGTAATTTATATGTAATGCACTCATCTTATCTTTTAAATGAATTTTATATGTGAAAACCATTTCTCTCACTACTTTTCATTAATGGTCATATTCGACAGAAACTTTGAATCGAATGTTTATTTTTTCTGTTGCACCTCATACTTACGTCTGAGCTGTTTCAGGTACCATGATCAGTTACCCAAATAAAGAGATTGATAGATAGGTAAAAGATCATTAGACTTTCTGCACTATATTTGTTTATCACACCTACATCTTTCAGAAGAACTTTTCACATTTTTACTGCGAAAGAGCAACACTGACAAGCGTTTTTTTACAAAACACACTGTCCTCTTTTACGTTTTTAATGTAATCAATTTAAAAGAAGTCGAAATTTTAAAAGTTGATTATTCGCACTTCAAAAAAACTGAAATAAGAAAAAGAATCTTGCAGACGTTATTATTCGTAGCGGTGTATATTTACAACGGTAGTAGACAAGGAAAGAAATGTCAATATAAGCATACATTACAGAAAAAAATGTTGCTGAACCTGAAAAAAGAAATGAAGAATAGAAATAACTTTTATTAATCTACAATAAAGAGTAAGTTAAATTAAGAGTATGTTTTTGAACAAGTTTACTCATAGTAAGATTGTACTTTCAAAATAGGAAATCCTACAGTCCGATTTTCAGTTTTGTATCTGTTTCCAAAGACCTGCTGCATCTTAAATAGCTGACTTGAAAGCTTATTGAACTCAATCACGAAAACAATATATTATGACCAGACATACGATGTTTTCGAGACAGTTTAAATGATTCCAGTAAAATACTCCAATTGAACGAGAAACGCGTGTAGAAGGTGCTAGGCTTCATATTACGTTCAACTCGTCTTTGAGATCATAAAATGCCTTGAACGCATCTGGATGCGCTGTTTTATACCATTCGCCAACAAAATGTGGCCATATTTGCGGTTCGAGGCGCCTCACAGTTTATCGAGTATATTCAAGAGCGTTGAGATGGATCTCGATCAGGACAAATGCGTTCACACGCTTCTCAAGAAAACAAGAGTTGGATCGAAGAAAAATGTTATATTCTGAAACCTTTTTACTATTTAAGCTCGACTTGTTTGAACTAAATAAGTTTTTTGTTACGGAAAAGTTCAAGCCTTGGGAATTCTAACTGACCCTTACTACACACGCAATCCTCGAGACGCCAGAACGACGATTAGTAAGAGAATAGGTGCGCGCATCTGAGAATCGAATCACCGACTTATTTTGATGGCATCTTAACTGTGTTGGAAGAGAAGATGCCGAAAGACAATCTTGAGGGCTGCGCATACTAAGCGCTAGTTCAAGTTTCCAAGGCTCGAGCTATTCTGGAGTGAAAAAGGCAATTATAGTACAAAATTTATTGCAAAACGTCTGTAACGAGAGAGAAATCGCGTGTAGAACACTGCAGGTTAAACCTGGGTTAGGTTTAGGTTATAAAAAATTTTATAGTTTTGATTGTAGGCTGCGATTGATAATTATTTTTAACCTAAACGAAAAATAAACGATTTTGAATGATTACATTAAAATTGCCAATACTTTGAGTAATAAAGCATAGTCTTATTGGGTCAAATAACTGATACGAACAATAGCAGATATTCTTCTCTTGTCACGAGCTGAGACTTTCTCACATTTTCGCTTAGCACTAATAGTATTAGCATTTACTTGTACCAGTCAAATGAATGTAATTCTGAAACCGTCTGAGTGGAACTTTATCGCTCAATCGATAAAGTTTAGACTGAACTACTTTTAAACCGAAAAATGGTACAATCAAAAAAGGAAGTACATAGAAAAAACTTCCGTTTGTTAAAAATAAATGGCGAATACACAACAATAATAGAACCTTCATAGCATCGAGAGGCTAAAGTGAAATTTTGGTCTACTCTTAAGAGGGTCTCCCTACTCAGAAAGCTATTTTTCAAACGTTGTATTAAAGAATAAAAGATTCAATCACTTCATTTCTTTATTAATTTAAAATATGATTTATTTCGTATAAGCTTTTCTATCAGACGCTGTTTAGGTGAGAAAAAACAATAACGATCTGGAACAAAGCTGAAGTTTAGGCTTCTGATACCAGACTTTGGGAATTTTGTATAGGTTATATTAGGTTAACCTAGGTTAGTTACGAAACACATTAATAGGTTAGATTAAGTTTTGGTTACGAATTTTGTAAGTTAGGTCACAGTTTCTCCAAAAGTCATAACCTGCAGAACTCTAACCGCTTGTAGCCTCGCAAATAAAGGACCGTATCTGCCAAAGAGTTTTCCTAGCGATACTAGGCATACACTAGTATTCGCCGATGTAGAATCCATATTACTTTCACAAAAAATCTTTTTGTAACACAAAATATTCTAGAATATTTTTAACCATTCGGTTTGGTAGTGCACTCATTTCTCTACAAAGTGAGGAATGTACGGTTTGATTCGGTAAATGTTTGCCAGTCCCTCCACAACCGATACTGATTACTTTGAGTGTGTGGCTCTTTGTCAAGGAAGCGATCATGGCAGAAAGAAAGGAGATGAAGACTTACGCCATGTCTCACTCTGTGGGAAAATGTTTGCTCTATAATAGCAAGTCGTGAAAACCCTATAATCTATTGTAATCTGTAATCAGTCTGATTGAGGAGAACCGTAAAACATATCGGCTTCAGAATTTCAGATTTCAAGAAAAAAAGGTCAACGCGACCTATAGCAGTTGAGTACCATATGGCCAGAGCAGGTATGTGACAAGGAGAAAATTAAGGGTTTTAATTATCATACTCTTGATCGCCATGTCTAGTTGTGCTATTAATATTGCCGGTGCTCCCTGTACAGAAAATGTTAACTTAGGATCCCATCAAGCATTTCGACTAAATTTCGACGGAAGCTTTTTTCTCGAGAGGAAGGACTGGCAACTATACGAATAGCACAGTTCGACATGGCAATCACGAATGTGGTAATTTAACGCCTTAATTTCTTCCTTCTCACATACCTGCTCTAGCCATACGATGAAGGCGAATATTGTTCAAATAGCAACCAACACTATCGCTAGTGTTGAAATATCTTATTTTGATTGTTTTTGGCCATTAGTGCTTTGAAAAAGTTCGGTAGAACAGTTTTAACGTTAAAACTAGAAAAATTAAAATGAAATTAAAAGGAGATTTTCTGAAGATCTCCTAGAAAACGTTGATCAGGTGGCATTGGAATCTCGCTAAACCTAAACCATTTGTTTAGTTTTTATTTCTATCTCCAACCACGTTTGAACTGAGTCTCCATCTCTTAGGTGAACTGCGCTACATTCATTTTGAAAAAGTTGAGTTTTTTAAGTGTTAAATTAAATTGAAAAATTGAAATTTTGAGTTAGAAACTTGATTTTTTTTCAAAATGTTCGCCTTTCGACGCTGAATCCGAATATGTTATTTAAAACGTTCCATATCCTAACGGCGATTATAAGACTTTTAATTCAACTGATGTAGTCCAAAAACCACGGTTTTCTGCAAATCCCACTTCGAAAGGTTTTGGAGAAAAGTTTCTAGAGACAAAAGGAAAGAAGAGTTCCTCGAGAAACTCTTATAAACCAGAGGACAGCTTCACAGCTTAGTGGGGTCCGAAGATAGTTTTCTTGAGCAAGACGCTTATTCAATGATAAGTTGCGCGTATGGAATCGTGTAAATTTCTAGAAATTTCTGATTGTTCGAGGTAGAGACAGGCATGTGGACGGATCTTTTTAACAGTCATAAAACATAATATCTAAGCGCGTCTAGACGTGTTTGTTTTATATCGAGATGAAAGTGAACGTATCTGGATGTTTACATATAATAAAATTATCCAGTAGGCAGAACTACTTTATATCCCAGGTAAAACTGAGTATTGAATTAGCATAATTAAAACCTAAAATGGGCGAAGAACATGAGAAGAACCTTGAACTGTTTATGCAGCATCATTGATGCAAGTTTAAAGAAGAACACTTTTTTACATCATTCGATGACCTCAATCCAACCATATGAAATTTTTGAGTTGCTGGTTACTTAAATATATTCTACTTATAATTATTTGACGTTTGCTATGTTTTGTTGTTTTAAGATCGTCAATTGTGTTCGAAAATATGATAACCACATTAGAAGATTTGCCTGATGAAGTTTTATTAATCATACTCAATAACTTCTCAGTTGCTACAGTACACTATGCATTCGATAAGCTTAATGCACGGTTCAATTGCATTTTGAATGACAAATATCTTCGATTAACGTTCGATACAAAAAATATACCTGATCGATTGTTTTATGATTTTTGTGATTCAGTCTTATTAAAATATGCTGATCGTCTAGTATCGTTAACCTTATCAAAACCAATTGAGTTATTTTCATCCAATAGTCAAATAAAATTTCATCAACTTGAAGTCTTGAAAATAGCGGGCTGTTCGATGTCTTTTTCACTGTTATCGGTATTAAAACAATTACAAAATTTATGTAAATTATCCAAATTGTTTATCTGTGTTCCTTTGCTTGAATCGAATTCTGTATGTAGAATGATTTTATGTAAAAATTATCTGTCACAGTTAAAGATGTTTTATATTGTATTCGATTCTTTTATTTCGTTAAATGGTGCTAATCATATACTAATAATACCAAATAATTTAAAACATTTATCTCTACAATGTGATATAAATGATTTATTACTTGTACTCAAATATTCGCCAAAATTAGAGTATCTAAATGTGGTTACTTGCGGTAATATTCAAACATTGACAAATAATTTCGTGTTGGAATTAAAATACTTAAAAATAAATATAAAAAATGTTTCTTATGTTAATTTGTTCAACATATTAAATATAGTACCAAATTTGAATCGATTTAAACTAACCGGATATGTTCAAGATCCAGATTTTTTCAATGGAGAAAATTTATCAGGTTTAATACCATTAACACTCGACAATTTTCAAATGATCATTAAAACTGGCGTTGAGCACCAAGGTAGTATTGATCCAAATAAGATATCAACAGTGCTGAATAAAGATAGGTGTGACTGGTATAGTGTTCAACAGAAAACAGATGGTCTTTGTTTAGAATTATCTGTTCGAAGCATAAAAAAATGCAGATTATTACCAACAACTGATCCAACGACAATAGAACGACATCTACCGCAACCGTCAACAGTTAAATGTATAATGAAGGCCTTTTTCGTCACTGTCGCAGTAGCAATCGCTTATTATTTGTTTTAAGGTTACCTACGTATTGTGGTGTGCTGCAAGGTTCAATATTAGGCCCATTTTTAGTTTTATTGTTTATTGACGATCTCCTCAATCTCTGCAGTGTTCATGTAAGCTGTTTGCTAATGCCGTTTCGCTGTATATAGTTGTGTCTGATATGAAGCAAGCCCTTAAGTTTTTGCTCGTGAGCAAAAACTTCACCTATGGTTTTTATATTATATTCGGCGGAGTTATAGAATTTACGACATCAGGCCCATCGGGAAAGTTCGAAAAACTACTATCCTCAGTATTTTGTCTATAACTCCGTTAATTTTTGCTCATTTTGTTCGAGCAGTATTTCATTTGATGTTTTAGCGTTGAACAGATTAGTTTGGAGAACAAACAAGGGAGAAAACATGGTTTCTAAGACTGAAGTTTTTCGAATCGAACCAATTTTTCGGCATCTAAAAAACATTTCTCAAAAAATGCGATCATGCTTTCGAATAGAGTATTCAATTCTCTACAAATTGAGAGCAAAACGTTTTTTTCAGAAGTGGTGCAAAAGGTCGAAAAATGCGTTACAATCAGGTGCACCATAACAATTACCCAATCATCAATTTTTAAAAAATATACTTTTGACAGAAAAAAAAACTGTTTCATAACAAATGTGAAGTTGGTGATTACAGTGCAATTAATTTTATGTCACAGTTTGCAAATTACGTGACATTCTACAGAGAAATGATGCATTCAGGTTGGACTTACCTTAATTAAAAATTTGACAGCAACACTGGAAACGAATGACAATGAAATAAAAAACTCGATAATCGTGAACTATTTGACAGAGCTCTTGCTAAGCTGCAAATGTCCAGTGATGCAATCGATGTATGGAAGGCACATTTACTAAGATCTGTTAACCAGGATCTCTGCAGCTAAGAATTAGTAAATAATTTACAGGAAGATACAGTGTTCGTCTATATGGACTGGGCGATGAAATGGTTGCCTGAAAAATGGCGTGAATCGCAGAAAAATTTCTTTGGCAACAAAGGACTCTCTTGCCATATACTGCGACTTCCTCCGGTTTCCAACGCATTTTTCGTTGCAATCCGGCTTGTACTCTTTTTAGACCTGGCCTGTGCCATTCGACCGTAGTTACTGCATTCAATAAGACTGTGGTTGCTCATTTCAATTCCTTCCAAGAAATCAATTTCCTTTATCCTACTCTCCATGTCCGATGAACACGTAATCCGTCTTTCTCAAATGAAAAGTTGTTAAAGTTGCGTGATCAGGGGTATCGACATCGTTGTTGTAACATCGGAACTAATCATTCGACAGTCAAATGTCTCTACACCTTTTACACCACCATGTGATATACAGACTTCAATAAACTGACCACTGTTGAGAATATCATATATAACAGCCACGTATCTATCGCAAGCTGATTTTTCGGCTTGTGGATCGGAAAAGGCGATTCGTTCGACTTTAGTATTCGTGTTCAGCGACATCTGAGATAGTGACAATATTGTCGATGGGGAATGATAGCATCCCGCATCATCCACTCTCAGAAATGCAAGTTTAATCGATTTATTTTCCGTTTTGACTCTTTTTAGAACGTCCCGTAAAATTGCTATAACTGCTTCCGAGTCTTGCGGATCTATGGCATGTGCGTATATTTTTGTTGAATAGTTATTCTCAGTCGGATGAACAGTTTCTTCTTTTTTGTCGTCGCTTTCTGTACAAGGGGGAAAAAGCGGAATGGGACGGAATGGCCCATTCCATACCATTCCACACCATTCCATACCATTCCATACCATACCATTCCATACCATTTTTTACAGTTTTTTCCATTCTCCTTTTTTAAGAGACTTATAGAATGCGCCGGAATGGGCCACATTGGCGCCGAGTGAGAACTTCTATTCCCTTGACTGTAAAGGAAAGC